AATTTTCTTATAAGTTATTTTGTGCTTATAGTTTTTTAAACTATATGTATTCTTTTATTTCTATTTAATTTATAAGTGATCTTTACTTAAAGGTGAATTTTCAAGTTAGAAGTAATTTTATGCTTATAAGTGAATTTTTTACTTTAACATAAACTTTTTCTTATAAGAATTCTATTTATAAGTAGAAGTGTCAAGACGGATGTGCCGGCCAACCCGTAAAAATCGGCCCGGATCGACCCGGGACCGCGGGCCGATTCGTGATTTGAGTGGGCGGTTTACGGGTCAAGGAGGTGTGACTCGCGGGCTTCGCGGGTTGCACCTTCACTGGTCGTGGTTAACCCGCTGACTCGTAAAAAAAATTTTAAAATTTTGAAAAAAAAAGGGGGGAGGTGCCAACCTAATAAGAATGTACTTATATTATAAATATTTGATAATAGTAATTAGAAATGCATTTAGTTGTTATTTGTTTAAGTTAAATTTAACTTTTCAAAGTTATAAATAATTCATGTAACATTAATTTTGAATTCTATGTAAATATTTTTTGGTATAAATATGAATTTATCATTTTGTTTAATTCTTATTTTACATTTAACAAAAAAAGTTTTTCTTAACTTGATGGATGGAGGAAATAAGTTCAAAATGAAATTTTTCTTATTGTGCAGATGAGATGTATATAATGACCATTAACTTTACCTTTTGAATAAACTAAGAAAATCAAGAAAGAAAATAGAACTAAAAATAAAAAGATAAATATGGCGAAATGTTAGTTGATGATGGCTTACAATAAGAGATAATATTTTTTTATGAAACTAAATGTACACACAAAGTGGAACTCCAAGCCGGTTTAGAATTATAAGTAATAAAATTTAAAAATATTTATAGACAATAAAATTAAATAATTAAAATAGCTAAACAAGTGTTGAATAACTCTCATGCAATCCTAAAAGCCATAAACAAATTTGAATTTTTCTACTATGACGATTAGCAACAATGAAATGCGAATCCATGGCCGGCCTTGATGGGTGCAAAAAATCGAACTTTTGCATATTGACTTTGGATCTAGGCTCGGGCTTGGCTAGGTTATATTTTTCTCAAATAGATATTGAAAAGAGAAATTTCCCTAATCCAACTCACTTTTACAGTTTTACCCCCTATGTGTAATTTTCTTTAATTTACTTGTAAAAGTTATATTTTTAACTTTTTTTTTTTTTTTTCGTTTATAGCCCTTTAGAACTAAATATTATTTTTTTGATACCTCAAACAATACTTCAAAAATATAATTTCTACTATTTTCACACCAATTGGTGAGCTTGTGTGCAGGTCCATGTAGGTTTGGTGTCGAAACTTTTGATGGAAGCTTACCATCTATTATCCTAAATCCATATTCATTGACCAAGGTAGAAAAATCTCTTTTTCCATGCACTTTTCAAATCATAAAGGTACGCCTTTCTACAATTATAATATGATTATTAATTTTCAGATTGCCAATATTATATTCATTGATGCGCCCGTTGGTACCGGATTTTCATATGCAAACACTTCACAAGGTCAAGCTTCCTCGGACATCAAATCAGCGAAAGACATTTTCACATTTCTTGGGAAGGTAGGTTGACATTACTTATCATAGATATTTTATTCTTAGATGAAAATCGAGGCAATAGAAACGAAGTTTTATGTGGAACTTACTAGTAGTCCTTACACATTCACACCTATATGCACTCCCCACTTTTTTGGGTTATTGAGCTAACAATATATTGATAATAATGCAATCCAGTGGTTATTGAATCATCCTATTTTTATCAAAAATCGTCTATATATAGCGGGTGAATCCTATGGAGGCAAACTTGTTCCCTTGGTTGCCATGGAAATATTACGAGGTAGTATGTATGAAATGTGAAAAAGGAGACTTGCAAGATTCCATTTTGAATTATTTATTTATTTTTTATCCGCGTGTTAAGTTTCATTAAGTTATTTGTCTTGATTATAATGTAGGAAACAAAGCAAGACTTCAGCCACGAATGTCCTTCCAAGTATTGATTAGCTCACACAAATATGCAAAATTCTTCTTATTTATTTGCCAATATTATAAAATACATATTTTATGTTAATGGTCGAGTACTTTTGAAATTGAAATAGGGATACATTATTGGCAATGGACTAACAGATCCAAACATTGATTTTAATGCACGAATTCCATATGTTCATCGTATGGCACTTATATCTGATGAATATTTTGAGGTAATCTTTTTTTTTTTATTAAGTTATTTTGATGATAGAATGCTGCATATTGCATATTATTCCCATGTAGTTACTTGACACAATTTCAGTTAGCAAAATGCATATTGCATCTTATTCCCATGTAATTACTTGACACAATTTCAGTTAGCAAAAATTAGTTGTGCTGGAAAATATTACAATCGTGATCCAAATAATGTGCAATGTGCATATGCCCTTCAACGGATCCAAAAGGTAATATTTTGCTCCTTATTTTATTTTATTTTATTTTATTTGATTTCCTTTAGCATTTATTATAGTTGTATACATTAAATATTGCAGTGTTTAAGTCATATAAAGCAAGTTCACATTTTGGAACCATGTGAAAACGGAGCATCAAAACTACGTGATTTTGGATGGGATCAAACATTTTCGAAAGACAATTCAATTGACCATCTCGTCCTCCCAACAGCAGAACAAGAGTGTGGAGTAACTTAATTAATCCTCTATTTATATATTTGTACACAAATTTATTTTTTACAAACTAAGTCAAGAGACTCAAGACTTACTTTGTCACTGAAGAAGGACAACGTTTTTTCCCCTTGGTTGTGCATGCTCAGTTTCTCATGAACAAGTTTCTTTTGTACAGAATCAAGATTATACAATACCTGAAAATTGGGCAAATGATCCAATTGTTCAAGAAGCTCTTTATATTAGAAAGGTACATCTAATTAAAAAGGATTAAAGGTTTAATATGTGTTACCATGTGCTATTTTTCAACAAAACACTATATACGATCAAGATGTTTACAAAAACCTCATTATTTGTTAACCAGGGAACGATAGCAAGGTGGGAAATGTGCAATTCTGGAATAACCTATGAACAGAATGTAGAAAGTGCTCTTGATTATCATAAAATTTTGATCAAGAAAGGATACCATGTTTTGGTATTCAAGTAAGTAATAATAGTTTCTGTCTTAAATAGAAATCATGACTTACTTTGTTCAAAATTTAATCTAATCTATCAACTAAATATATAAGTTGGTTTAAAATTAATGAAGAGAATTAAACAAAAAACATAACTATAAATATTTTAATTTGATAAATGTTGTCTAATTATGCTTCTTTTCTTTCCAGTGGTGATCATGACATGGCTGCACCATATATGGGTCCTTTAAAATGGATTCGCGTTCTCAATGTGACTATTGACGACAATTGGAGACCTTGGCTTGTTAATAGCCAAGTCGCGGGGTTTGTTTCTTGTTCTTGATTTATTAATGTTGTTGTTGTTGTTGTTGTTATTATTGTTATTGCTTCGTATTATTCTCAAAATTACAACCTACTTTAACCCTTGTAGATACACAGAGAAATACAAGAAGAATGACTTTGATCTCACATTTGTAACAGTCAAGGCAAGAAAAGTTTGAATATATCATTTCTTAAAATGATTTGAAGAAAAAGAAATAAAAGTATATGTTTTTATGTGGCAGGGTGCTGGACATTCAGCATCAAAGAATAAGCCTGAAGAATGTCTAGCAATGTTCCATCGCTGGTTCTCTAGACGTCCTTTATAGGTATGGGTAGACAGGAATGTTTTGGGGTGCATTTGTGCCCCTAATTCATCAATCATGTTGGAAATTAATTCTCTTGTGTGCTATAAAAATTGTAGTGCGTGATAGTTATTCGGATGGAGGTGATAAGAGTATCACTCTTTCACTCCACCCAATTATAATTCTCAACAGATATGGTTTGGAACGAATTATGTCTGAGTATATATAATATGAAATGTTTGCGGCTAAGGTTAGCACCTAGCTTGCGCCAAAGGTTATCTTTTGGGCGCTCAAGTAGGCTGCCAACGAGCTCTCTCTGAGCAGCCTTCAGTATTTCATCGTATATTTCTCTCCAGATATCGAAATTGAAGTGATTCAATGTGCGTTGAAAAGCTAAATGAAATTGATGTTGGCTTGATTCATGGAAATACCGAACGTTTCCTTGATTCTTGACGTTGTGTTTAAAAAAAATGTAAAGAAATAGAAGGGAAGAATTAATTTCAATGCATTAAGTTCAACATATCATCTATAATTCCAAAAAAAGAGAAACGGGTCCAGGATTAAATTAAAGGCTAGGCTAATACACGAAATAAAAAAAAAATTACACATGAAAAACTGTTTTTACAAAAAAGAAAAAGAAATTACCTTTAAAAAAGGGAAATTATAAAAAATCAGGTGCTTAAAGTTTGGAATTCAAAAATCAGGGACTAAGTTTTATCATTCAAAAATCAGGTACTATATAATAAAACATAACCCTAATTTATCACTCAATTTCCCTCACCTCCCTCCCTCCCTCTCGCCTCGCCTTCCCTCTCCTTCCCCCCCTCTCTCTCTCTCTGTATCTTCCCCTACCCCTTTGCACCTCTCCCTTCTTAGCAGCGTCGAGGAGCTGCTGATAGCTCCTTGACGCTGCTGTGAATCGCAGCCGATCGCGGCTGTGATTCACAGCTGCGAGTCACAACCGATCGCTGCTGCGATTCACAGCTGCGAGTTGCAGCAGTCACATCGCTACTAGGATTCGTTGCAGCAGCGCCTGCTGTTGTGAATCGTAGCTGTGATTCGAGGTGCTGCTGCTGTGAATCGCAGTGGCAACGCTGCTAGCGACTATGGTGTGGGTCGTTGCTGCTAGCGTTGAGGTGAGTGGGTTGGCTGTGGTGTGTGGGTCATGTCGCTGTTGGTGTGTTGGTCGGCTATTGGGGATCGACTGTGTTGGTGGATTGTCTGTGTGGGGTGTGGGTCGACTGTGTTGGGTGGTGATGATGGTGTTTGGATTGGATATTTTTGCAGATGGTGGTTGTGGCGGATCTGGATGTTGTCGTGATGGTGGTGGATATGGCTGTGACGGGTGGGGGCGTCTGTGACCAACTATTTAATCATTTGTGACCAACTGACCAACTATTTAATCGTCTGTGACCAACAATTTGGCTGATTTGTGACTATATATTAGGTGTCTGTGACGAAAAGTAATTTGTGACCAAGAAACTGTAACTTATGTGACCTATAAAAAAAATGTGACCTGTAATTTGAATGATATGTGACCTCGAAATAATATGTGACCTGTAAAATTTTTGATCTGTGACCATGAAATAATTTGTGACCAATTAATTTGATGATATGTGACCAGTAAATAAATTTGTTACTTATAATTATGAATATGTGACCAGTCGCCGGAAAAGTTGTCAGAGAAGAGTGGTGGTCGGAAGGGTCGCCGGAACGATCGCCGGAAAAAATGGTGGTCGGAATAGTCGTCGGAATAGTCTCGGAGCAGTAGGGGTGGTGCAAGTGGGGTGGGTTAATTATATTATATTATATTAAAAAAAACTGATTTTTGAATTTTTAAACTATAAACCTGATTTTTGAATTGGTGTAAACTAAACACCTTATTTATGAATTTTTCCCTTTAAAAAAATGAATGAAATTGGGCCTTGTCCATTGGACCCGTCCAGTCGAAAAAATTCACTCAAAGTATCCAGCAATTATCCCTCCCAAAATTTCTACCATTCCCTCCAATTTTTTGGAGTGAATTTTTTCAAAACTCACTGAACTTATACCTTGGTAACGGACTGCTCACTAAACTTCATTGTGCTTCGAAGTACTCACACAACTTTACCTTTTACCTTTCCATCCATCACCGTAAAAAATTTTGTTTGTGGGTCGCTGATGTGGCAGACGGATTTCCTAGCTGGCAGTCCGACGGCCGTTAAAATTCCAACTCACACACGCTGGACCAATTAAAACACGCCAGCATGGATTTTTTAAACAATTTTTTGAACTTAAAAAAAAAAGCAATTAAAAAACCCCAAAATTGACTCCCCTCCCTTCAAATTTGAAACAATTCACTCCCAAGAGAAACCCTAGTCCCAAATCTCTCAAATCCAGCCCTACCCCACCTGTTGAATCCTTCCCGAATGCGCAAATGGAGGGACTACACGGAGGTAAATTTGAATAATTTTGTCTTTGGTTTTTTGTCAGTATTCGTATGGGTGGTCGGCCAGAATCTGATTTTTTTTTCTTTGTGGGGTAGCTTTCAACCGTGTTTACGTTCGGTTTAGGTATATAAGATGTTTGTTGAAACGGTTAATTGATGGATGACATAAAATTGACTCATTTGAAGAACTTACCGCACCTGCAAATGACGAACCTTCAGACCACTGAGATTCATCTGATGGGCAAGGATTTGGTTCAAACGAGGACCCAGACTTCATTGATTCTGGGAATGAATTGGACTCCGAAGGGGATGACATGCTTTATGAATTGCATGTGACGGATGAGATAGAAATAAGTTCAAATGTGACGAAAGCGGTAGTACAGAATCAGCCGAAGGATGATGATGTGGTTGATGACTTGGAGTACCCAAGTTCTGAAGAGATTCAGGCTGACTGTGTATCCGGTGAGGAGGTTAGCCATTGTTTTCCGGAATTCTTGGCCGAGGTTGACATGCGGAATCCACATTTCGAAGTTGGTCAGCTATTTAGAGATGTGGTGGAGTTTAGAAAGGATGTGAGTTCATATGGAGCTGTAAACGGATACAACGTCAGATTTAAGGCAAATGACGAGAGTAGGGTGCAGGGAATATGCAACCCGATTGCAATTGGAGAATTTGGGCGTCTTCGTTTGGTGACACGGGAACTATTCAAGTGAAGTCATACTCTCTCGAGCACAACTGCACTAGAGACCAGTATAATAGGCATTGTAACTACGAATTCCTGACCCGTCATTACATTGAGAGGTTCAAAGCAGATGTGGAGTGGAAAACAAAGAGCATATTGTCAGTAGTGAAGGAGGATTTCAAAACTGAAATAAATCAGAACGTTGCATGGAGAATGAGAAGGTATGCAAAGGAACTATTGCATGGGACAATAGAATCACAATTTCGACAGTTGTGGTCGTACGGTGCCGAGGTGCTACGTGCAAATCCAGGATCCACTGTCGTAGTCAACACATTCAACCAAAAATTTCAGGGTATATATATATATATATATATGTTTCCAAGCACGTAAGCTTGGTTTTGTTGGTGGTTGTAGGCAGCTGATTGGAGTTGATGGTTTCCACATAAGGGGATGTTTTGGTGGAATATTGTTGACGGTTGTTGGCCAAGAAGCAAATGACTGCATTTATCCCATTGCATACGCTGTGGTTGAGAAAGAAAACACACCCACTTGGAGGTGGTTCATGAGGTTGCTAGCTGAAGATGTAAACATTGGTATGAGAAGTGGTTGGACGCTGATGATTGATCGCCAGAAGGGGCTCCAAAATGTTGTTGACGAATTATTCCCGGAGGTGGAGTATAGATTTTGCGTCCGACATATGTACCCCAATTTCTTCTCTGCTGGTCACAAAGGAAAAACACTTAAAGACTTCATGTGGCGTGCTGCTAAGTCCACCACTGTTGCGGACTACAAATATTGGATACAACAAATCCAACAAATAAGTCAAGATGCTTTCCTTTGGTTGATGGAAAGACCCGCACAGGAATGGAGCAAGTCCCATTTCGAAACTCACTCAAAGTGCGATATCCTGTTAAACAACGGATGCGAAGTGTTCAACAAGACGCTTTTATTAGATCGAGAGAAAATGATCATCGACATGCTTCTGTCCATTCAGCTGAGCTTCATGCAAAGAATACAAAAGATGAAGGAAAAGATGCGTATGTACGTGGGTCGGCTTTGTCCGAGGATTAGAAAGAGGGTTCACACTTTGGTTGAAAATTCGAGGGAGTGCATCGTGCACCTGTCTGGTGGTGCCAAATGGTAAGTGGAATGTAGCCATGGAACATTTGTGGTTGACTTGGAGGAGAGAACATGTGCCTGTAGAAAGTGGGAATTGAGTGGCATTCCATGCCTCCATGCGATGGCTGTTATACGCAAGTGTAGAAATGAGCCAGAGGATTACGTAGGCAATTGCTATACGACTGAGGCGTACTCCAAGTGCTACGATAATATTCTTAATCCGATCAATGGGCCAAGGCTGTTGCCGAAAGTGAATGCGGAAGTAATTACCCCCCTAACTGGGCAGTATCTAAAAGAGGGCAATGACAGAAAAAGAGAGGAGAGGGCTTGAGGAAGTCATAGTGCACGAGCAAGGAAGGTCATACGTAAGGAAAACTAGGCAGGTGCAGATGACGTGCACTGTTTGTGGAGCTCGTGGACACAACAAACGACGCCATACAATAGCCTCTGTTTCTGATGTGAGTGAACCCGTTTTTCCCTTAATTGCCTTTTCCCTCAGGATAAAATAATAGTGTTTTAATTTTGTAATGTAGGACTTTGTCGATGCACCGTTGGAGCCGGTCGAATCTGTTCAAGAAAGAGGAAGGACTGAAAGTGTAAGTTTATCATTCATTTGGAGTTTGGTATTTGTTACAATTCACACAGCAAGTTAGGACTTTTGTTAATCCACCATGTAGGGGAAACTGTCCGCGAGGAAGGGGAGTCGAGTAGCGTCGCAGTCGCATACTGTGGAGGCAATGGTGGAAAATCTCCAGGAATTGGATAATGCTGAAGCTTCGCAGTCAAGGGCAGCTC